GGGTTTCACTATTACTTGTTATCTCTGCTATAATATTATCGTATGTGTTTACTTTATTCTTTTTACTGTTTCTTTTTCCTCTATTGGTCCTTTGTTTTGTAATTTTAAGAGAGAAGAAGGGATGATTGCCCTTGTACATAAGAGGATTATCTATATTTGTTAAGTTTCCATATCCCTTTATGTTATCATTTAATCCAAAGGGATATGGTGTCATCAGAAGTTTGATCCAAAAAAGTTCCTTTTCTACTAATGTAGTTTTATCGTTAGACTTCATACAGTCTAGTACTTGTACCGTTATGCCCTTATCACATTTATAGAAGTGATTATATAATGGTGTGTGTACTTTGTGTGAAGAGATATTGGAAAGATGTTCGCCAATTCTTTCTTTCAATTTTCTTACTGTCATTCCAACATATTGTATTCCGCAGCCATTGCATGTTAAACAGTACAACTACATTTTTAGCGTTACAATCTGCATCTGCTTCTTTATATGTGTTAATATATAAATTGGTAACGTTTGATACAATGTAATTATCTGTATTAGTTATATCACATGTCCTGCATTTCCTTTTACATTTGCAACCCTTGTTATCATTTCCAAAGTCGTTAAGTTTGAAGTGATTGGCCCCACCCCTTACCTTGTGAACCTGGAACTGGAGAAATAATTTGTGGCGCTAGTTTTCGCATTTTTTGACCTAAGATCTAAGCGCATGAGCGGTCAAACCCATACGCAGAGAGGAGTCTTCCCGAAGGTTCGGCAGGGCTGCTGCCCAGGGGGTGGCTCTCCCTGCAAGAACTACTAGCGCTGGAGGCGCCAAAAAATGACCCCTCTTGCCATTTTTGACTTGTATAACCCCGTCAGCGCTAGTCCCTATTTTTTGAAGAGGTATGGCCCTCTTTTTTGAGAGGCATGGCCCTCATGTGTGTAAATGATGATGTGTTAAAAATGTGGGACATGTTAAAAAAACAAAAGAATAAAAAAGAGAAAACAAAAAAAGGGAAAAACGCGCAGGGCCTACTAGTTAATAACAAGGATAGCAAATGTGAAATAATCTTAAATGCAAATTATGTGTATTATGGCTGTATAAATTTAAACATGTCTATAAACTAGCAACAAATCTGTGTTATCTGAAAGTTAGGGAATGTTCGTAATAGCTTTAGTAACTTGGAACAAATGCGGAGTTGAACAATAAAAACAGTTTGTGAGCATAGAGGTATGAGGAACGTCAATCGACAAAATTGCAATCTAGACGAGATGGATATAGGTAATAAAAAACGACCACTGGCCGCGTGTTGGACCACTGGTCCCGAAAAAAACACCACTGGTGTCGGAGGCAACCGCCTCATAGAAAAAAGTGAGCGAAGGATATAGGAATGCGAGAAACAAGATATGACCCGTAAGACGGAACTGGTATTTCATTGAACTCGGGTTACCCCTCGAAGTTGTCAATGAAGACGCCACAAAAAAAAAAAACAAAAAAAAAAAAACACCAGTACAGCCAATTTAGAAGCAAAGAAAAACAAACATTGGGAAATGCATACACTCCACAGCACAGATGATCCGTTTCGCCCGTTGTCGTAGACGAATCATCGAAGTCTTACCAACCCCCCGGGCTCGTCAGTACGACAGGGTTGAAGACATGGACATGGACTACACAGGGGAAGGAGCAAGAAATAGGACAAAAAGAGAAAACATGTAGAAAAAGCTCACGTGTAAAATTCATGCAATAAAAATGAGAAGGAATTGTACAGTAAAAATGAGAGAATGTTATAAAGTTCTGAGTACTAAATACGTGTAAGAGGAAGAAAATTGGAATGGAGTAGATGGGCAACCAATTAAGGGAATGTTGAGTAAAAGACACCGTCGAGCTGACTACAACGGTGAATAAAAATTGTAGCGATAAAATGAGAGTTAGAGTTGAACATCGTTGCTAATGAGAATACTTTTAACCAGCCTACTTATCTTTTTATAGTTATTTGCAATAGAGTATTTGTAACTTATAAATTTATTTTTGTAAATACATTTCACAATGCTAGTAATAATAAAATCTTCTTCGTAGCCATTTTTCGAAAGAGTCACCCCACTACATAGAAACACTATGCCCCAGACGCAAGCAATGATGGTAAAAGTAGGTGTGTTTGTGTACGAGTTCAAAGTATCGTCCGTTTGAACTTTTGACGTGACGAACGACTCATCATCCCGTGTTTTATCTATTTTGGCATCCTCCCTCAACGATGGCCCAAACACGCAAAGCCGGTTCTCTCGAAGTAAAGAGTGAGAGAGGGCAGCACTTGTTGGCTCGATGTAACATCAAAAGCGATGTCAGTCTCAACCCTTGTGATATTTGCACGTATGTTTACAAACCTTTTTACTACTTTTTAGGGTGGGCAAGGTATTGCTGACTACTTTTGAACCAGGGCTGTCTATGACCGGAAATGGCCCTTTTCTGATGGCCCTTTTGCAAAAAATCATTTTCCATATAAGAGCGGGTGTCAAGGGGAAGAGTTCCGGGTACGCTTTGAATCCAAGAGCTCAGAACATGGGGATGTTCTTGCAGAATATGCTTACTTAGACTCCAAGGGAGTGCGGCACTTTCCTTCTAACCCAATTTTCCTGATGAACCTGCATGAACCCTTCCAAATTGCCACAACCATAAGCACCGTTAAATGCCTCTTCCAAGCAATCGCGCTGTTTTTTCAGTTATTCGGCAATTGTTGATAAATTTATCGCGAATTCCATTCCCATCCTATGTGTTCAAGATTTAGTGTTGATCTACAGCGACATTGTGCAATCGACATGCGTTTATACTCACCCCAACGGTTACTCGTTACGGTGGTTGGTTCTCGGAGATAAATGTGCTTGTTCAAACGTTGAGATGTGCCAACGCTTTCATGGGCGAGTCACTGGTATTGGTTTTGGAAACATTACGGTGAGTGGATGTTGCTTTCTGTACCCCTGGCCTCTTTTCAGCCTTGACCTATTTGTCCCTATTACATTGCATTCTCTTATTAAAAAAGACGGAGGCGGTAAAGTGGCACGTAGTAGTTTTTAAAAAGCGTTCTAAGTAAAATCCCACACCTTCTCCTGTCTATGCCTACCAAGACTGTACCACACAACGTTTTTAGCGTAGGCTTACAAATGGGAGCAAAAGCGAGCGTGAGAGGAGGTTTATGCTCCTTGTGAGAGTCTCTTCTCGCCTGATAAGAAGGCAAATTAGCACCTGTAAACTGGTTCATGAGTGAAAGTTGGGATCCAGTCCCTGTCATATGGGCGTTTTCTTTCAAAAAATAAGGCCCCACCTAGGTAGCCGGGTGTTGTTCGTAGGTGTTTCTTCCGGGCCTACGAATTAGGTAGGCCCGCAAGAAACACCAGTCAGGTCACAGGCGGGATACGAACCCGCATCTTTCGCTTTTGCCCACAGCTCGGCACTCTTGTGACAACTTACGGATTGCGCAGTGCGGCGTTAAACAGCAGTTATCAAACAATAACAGCTTTGAAGTACTAGGTAAACAGTGTGAGGAGGCAGCTTAGCTCGAACTTGAAGTAGCTTTTATAGGATATCAACTTGGATCGGATTATCGTGGAGCTCAAGCAACAACGGCGTTAGCTTGGTGAGTGAGCAAATGTACAGAAAACTATTCCGTATCCTTCCTTGTTTTGCTGTGACACTTGAAAAACCCCTAGCAAATGGTTAATTGATTACAGAGTACCTGAGGTTACCTAGAGCTCCGGAAAAGATCTTGGAACAAGCCAAAAGAAATCGGAACTATCTATCAATCTGTTTTTTTTATTTTCCCTGAATTGCGTTTGTAAATATATTATAGATCAACTATGCCTGGGAAAGCTGATTTTAGATCAGCGGAAACGACCCTAAGCAAACAGGAAAAGTACGGGAGATTTAGGGTTCCCGCACCCAAGGCCAGCATCCGGGTGACAAAATATCCGTGTAAAAGCTTTCAGCTCAAAACCCCTTCCGGCACTTTTGAAGATGACTTTTTTGGGGGAAAAGCAAGGCTCAAAGGAAAGAATGTCACTATTAGGAATGAGCAGCTCCATGAATTTCAAGGACTTTGGAGTCGAATATCCATGGATACCCCTGAAGCTCCTGTGAAGTAGATTCTACGAGTGATTAAGGCTCTAATCAAGTCCAAGAATAATCAAACCAAAGCCAGAGCGCTGAATAGTTTCTTCTTGTTGAGTTCCAGCTATCTACTCACCATTCCACTGTTCGTGATTTTGTCGCTTGTTCCAAGTTTTTTCCAAAGCTGTAGGTCTATAAGAAGCTTTTCTATTCACAAATATTCACCAATTCCAGTTCGAAATTTCAAATGATCTTAGGATTCCGTTCACCGAAGGCGATGATGGCTCGCTTATAACGCTCACTAAGCGATACAGGTTGGTCGTCGTTGCATTTTTGTCGTTTTCTCGGCTATATTTTGATCTTCCAAAAAAAATCTCGATCATCGATTTCGTAACGCGCAGGTGCAATTGAATGCCACTATTCACACGAACACGAGAGGAGATGAGGGAAATGGCAGATGGGGCGGTGTTTGCTCGGGTTGCTCGCTCTGCCCTTGCTCTCTTCTTTTCATGGTCTAATCTCTCATCTGGGCACTCAGTGTTTCCTCCCCGTAAGCTCGTGCACTGAAGTGATTGCGATGGGGCGCGTCAGAGGGAAGGGCTGAAGACCACAGGCAGCTGCCTTTCTACACATAATGGCACTGCCGGTCTCGCAACTGCTGCTGGGTGGATGAACAGCAGCCGCTTGTGGCCCTACCCTCCGTATGACACTTCCCTGCACCCAGTTTAATGCAATAAGGGCTCAACAACAAATGTAATGTCGAGATCGAGCTGAAGGCGTTGAAAAGAACTGAGAAAAGAATATTTGAGCTGTGATTTGGTACGATACCGTCCAGGTTACGTGACAACTAGAACTTCGGAACAAAGACGCAACCAAACCAGAGCATCAAGTTGTACAAAAAATATGACGTGAGCTTCGGGGTGGATGAGCCACTTATTCTGCGTGTAAAGATGGGCCGTGAAAGGCCAGAGTGGTCACAAGACGCAATGCTACGACGTGAGAGCGCTAGAAAAACAGAAATTAGCGCTAAGTTAAAAAAAAGGGAACTGAGTTCAGTTTGTATGTGGGCCACCGTATCCGAATCAACGCTGTATTAAAGAAACGTGATAAATCCACCACAGTTTTACAGCTTTCTGTGACATCTGCTACTGTTCAGGTCATAGACAGGCTTTAGTAGACTTTTTCATTAGTAAAGCTGGAACATTTCAGAAATCGCTGCATTCATGCGGAGTTCTCACGTCCGCTCGTCACAAACTCGTCCGATTTGAGCGCGTGCCAAACGTGGAACGTTGGTTGCCCGGCTATACGACTTTTCTCACTACCTTCTATTACTGTTCAACTGGAATTTTTCTTAGATTGCATACATTCAAGATATAGATTGAGGGGGGTTCATAATATTTTTCTTCCAGAATCAGGGGGTAGTTTCAGTTTATCACTACACCGACAGAAATTGGTGACGGGTCTTACTACGTCAATTCGTCTAACTCGAACAGCGTGCAGGTACCTTTAGAGGCAGTTGGCACGGTAAATCCTACAGACGAGTAGGATTAATACACTTGGCAGAATGGAAGTCTGCGCCCATGAGAAGCCATTGCTCAGCGCCCTTCCAAGAAAATACGCACTCATAAGGGCGCCTATCGAGCTACAACATACCAACCTGGATGCGCCACCAAGCCCGCGCCTACCAAATGGACGACCTTTTAAACGCTCGTAGTGATTCATTGCTAGGCAAATTAAGAAGGCGAAGGGATGGTAACGAACCGGCGCCTGATGCGGCATGGATATATGGTACAACACCATGCAGCCGTATCATCGGTAGCGGTTATTGGCAAGATGCCTACGGGAAACTCGTCCGAAATTGATTTTTATGTGATTAAGAACGAAGGCTTTTTCTTATTTCAGGGTTTCGACCGTTCAACCTTAGTTCTTTCCATTTTCCTCTTAATTTAGCGCATCCGCTACGCATTTTAGCCGAGCACCAAAGTTATCGTGCCAAAACTGCCTTCAAATTTGGTGATAAAGTATGTTTTTTCTTTTGCAAACAGCAAAGAAGTATTTGCCTTTACTGTGGCAATATAATGGAGGACTGCGACGAAAATACCTGAAAGATTAGAGATGCTACGCTCTCCTCGCGGCCATTGTCCGACCCAGCAGAGACAAGGCGGCCAAAAGAACCAAAGGTGGTGGGTTCACAATGCTTTTGGTTTGCAACACTAGGATAATCACAGCTTTGTGACTCGTACTAGTGATTCCAACGATCCTTCAAAGTAGACTTCCTCAGAGCACACACAACGGTTGAGGGGGAGGGGGGGGGTTAAGGTTTCGCTACATATCCTGATAAGAAAGTCTTTCACAATATGAATGTTATGATTTATGATTTATGATTTATTATCGGCAAACTAATTACAATGGTCGAGATAAATAACAGTGTATGAGGAAAAAAAACTCCCGATAAGGTGAAAAACACTCATGGTAATCGAGACTTAAAGCTGCAAGCAATGAGTGGAGAGGTAGTCAGCGCAGAAGGGCAGTGGGCCGCCAACACTGCAAGTCCATGGATGCTCTTGTAGGAACTCCGGATACCAACTTAGTAGGTCCGCCAACTTTGCTGACTTAGCTGTGATCCAACTCCACTTGCCGCAGATTGATGAAAAAATCCAGTGGCATGAGGATGTACATCAAACAGACAATATACAAGAAACACAAGCTATGAGCTAAAAATATCATTCAGATAAGGATACAAGAGAGTCTTGGAAACATTCATATCCACCGCGAAATCGCTTCTCGATCAGTTTAAATTTAGTATGGTTTAGTTTCTGTCCTCAGAACCAGCCCTGAGATATCATAATTCGCCTAACTTTGCTCCTGAAGTTCTTAGTGGAGCTCGAGTTAACAACATCAACCGGTAAATCGTTCCAAAAAGTAATGACTCTTTGTGTAAAAGGAATTTCGAACTGTGCCTCAGTTTGATCTGCGTTTCTCTCGTAATTAATCCCGAAAAGGTTGTGCCCCCTGGTACGGCCAATTGTTGAAGATTTTGTAAACAAGAGGTCGAAATCCAGATCTATAGAGCCAACACTAAGCTTGTAAACAAAGTCGTAGTCATATAGCTTTCTTCTCATCTCAAGTGAGTCTTCTCCCAGATATTTGAGCCTGTCTTTATACGAAATATGAAACATGCCTCCACGGGCGAAAATTTTCTCAGTAAATTTGGACTGAACACTCTCAATAAGTTCAACCATATGACGAGTATGAGGGCTCCATAACATGGGACAATACTCAATATGGCCCAATCAATCTGGTCACTTGACTAGGGAGTGTACTGCCACATTTTGCAGGTACTTGTCTTAATCTCAGCCGCACCGAACCAACAACCCTAACTGCGGCTTCTCCGGCGCTACGGCCTTGGAATGCTGAACGAACTCAGAGGAGAAAGAGACAGACAGGGTGATATACCTCCTGATTTTTGGGAGTAAAATTTGCTTACCAACAAATGTTTGCTTTTCAGATACACCCCGACAAATAATATTTATGGCTACGATTACAACTCTTCACCTTCGTCATCATCTGATGCGGCGAGACTTGTCTTGAACCCGAACTACGCTTATCTCAACGATGCACTTTCAGAAGGCTATGCCAAGAATTACGTTCAGGCAGAGATGGCGTACAGCCAAGGCGGTCAAGTTGGCGGTCAAGTTGGTGGTAAGCGCCTACACAAGTTGCATAACTGGGGTGATTGGGGAGCTCCGGCTAGTAGCTGATTATGAAAGATGTGCAGGGAGTAGCTAACCCCTCGCCATTTACCTCTTTTGTGGCAACAGGGGCCCCACTAATGTGTTCCGGCAGATTTTAGTAGAGATACATCTCACCATGGTAGTTTTGTTCCGTGTTCTGTGGTGGGACACGCACAAGTTGATTGGTCATAATAGAAAACATTCCGGTGCTGGAATTTGAAACGGTGGTCTCAGCTGCAAAAAATGATTTCTAAACAAGGCGAAAAAGGCATTTTTCCAGGATTACCAAGCATTACGACGCTGTTCCTGCGCAATCAGCCATTTTGAGCAACGACCAGCAGCAGATGCTCAGAATTATCAGCAAATTCGACAGGTACGTGGTTAATAGTTTTGGACCTCTTTTACTGATTTTAAGTGGAAACTTGTATGGTCCTGGCTCGATTTCCTGAAAGATAACGGTGCACTCATTCCAATGGATCATGGCTCCTTACCGCTTGAGAAGAAGGGGCTGCAATATCGTGCCATTCCCTCGGCTGGAAGTGCACAAGGCTGGGGCATAACCCGGTGCTGACTCCATACTCGGCCTTGCGCTGCTTCTGGGCCATTCACATACCTTACCATAGCCAAACGCGCGAATTGTCTGCGTCGTCTAGCTTCTGGTTGTTCTGCACCGCTAACTACGCGTTTGCTGCGGAACCTCCATAAGTGCTGACCCTTGGAGATAGTTCAACGCACATATATGACGGCAACGCTTATCTTCAACGAATTTCTTCTTAGAAACAGTTATGTTCACTTATCCTAAGTAAAATCGTTCATGATTCGGTTCGGTGGTTTTGTTTTTTACGCCTTACAGAATTCTGAAGGATTAAATTTCAGAGCAACCCAGGAAGTTACAACCCACCTTTGAATTCAGGCAATTATTACGGAGGCGCACAATCAGGCATGTTTTATTATTGCAATACTTCCAGGATTTTGGTTCTGTCTATTCGCTTTCAGCAAAACTTTGAAGATTCCACACACAACGATAGGGCGTTTCTGGAGACTAGGATGGTTCGAAGCCCGCCAGTTTTCAACCATTGATGGTCAGCTAACAAGTTACACGTTGGTAGGGCCTGGTATCACGGCGAAAACCAGCCGCTCTGCCAGGCCCCAGCGACCGTAGCGAACAGGGACTCTGATCCATGACATGTTTGTTTCGGAATGTGAAGAAGGGCATTTCATTTATTGTATGAGCATGGGGGAAGGAGGGGGGCACCAAAACATGTTGGTACTTTCTGCCGCGTACAGTTCAAAAACTAATGGAATTACCCTAGGTCTGCCCTTATCGGTGGTATGTACAAGCTGCCTCCTTTGTTCTTCGGGATCAGAAAAGGGCTGGATGGCATTAGCGCGCGATCCATCAATGCCGCGACTGCGATAGGCCCGAATTCTTGAACACGAAATCTTCTACTGCTACATGGATCATAGTGTCGGTGATGAAATATCTATGGGCCACCGTAAGCAATTCGCTACGTAACTGCCGAGCTTCCCGTCAGTTGGTGTTTATTGCCCCGCATTTTTATCCCCTCACAGTGGCCCTCTTATAGCAGCGTCCCTAGTGGCATAGTGAGCTCATCTAACTCGAGCACACTCCAGTCCAGAAATGCTGTGATTCAGCGCTTCTCAGCGACGGTGCTACAGCGCACTCTTCCAAAAGTTCCTGGGAGTTCCTAGGAGCACCTGGGAGCCCATCGCTATGGTTGAGGTCCCAAGCTTAAAAAACGATGTGTTTAAATTGCGAGAACGAGTGGCACAGTCCATAGCTCATCCAGGCGTTTGGCCAGCATCTCCATCGAGCCACATTGTTCGAAAAATAGAAGAAGAAAGGCGCAAGTGCTGAGTGTCCTTGCTCCCAGACGCCCTAGACCGTCTCACGACGCTTTCAAACTTAGCCTTCCCCGTCGTCATCGACTGGTACTTGATTGTTGAAGTGTTTCAGATGCCCCTCAAAGAGCCCCGTTGCAAAACGGGTTTCAGCAGTCAACGTCGAGTAACTTCGTTAGCCCAGTACGTAAATATTATCTTTCAAGGACAGCAAAATGGAGAATTCAGACAACCTGCTGCTCATTTTCAGACTTACACAACTGTGAACACTTTCACCAGTTCAACGCCAGTGCAGGCTCCTTATCAGAGTGTAGTCGATTTGAAGACGACTAGACTTCGTGATCCTTCAACTTTGGTCTATTACTCGGATGTTCCTTCCACTTCGAATGCTGCAGCGATGGTATATCCATACAGGACACTCGCACATCTCAGAAGTACCGCCTATAAGTGTTTGAATATGAATTTAATAATTCATGCGATTGTCATTATGTTTTGCAGAACGCTACCAGCGGTCAATCATATACTGGTAATACAGTTCAAACGTATACTGGTGATACAGTGAGTACGGTGTCATCAAGTGGCAGTGGGTGTCTACAGGGACACAACAGCGAGTTAGTAAAGCTTCATGTATCTCATTGATAGAAAAGACCAAAGAAGACATCCTTGCAATCGCACGAATGCAGGATGATGTCGCAGAGACGCCTTAGCGCTGCCCAGGCCATCGGAACGCGAGATTCCGCTGAGTTTGGTAACGCTTTTGGTTGGCCGCTTCTGAGCAATTGTGAGTAGAGTACCTAATTAGTCGCCAAAAAAGGATTAGTCCCAAAATAAGGCAGGCTCATTGTGCATAGGATAACCCTTGAATACTACCGACCTATCGAATAAGGGGGCGAAGCAGGATGGGTCAGCGCGTTTCCACAACGGAAGCGCGCTGACCACCAGTTTGAGTCCTACGCTGTGGTTGTAACGTTATCCTCACGCGACGCCCACGCACGCCTACAAGTCTTTGATTTTCCTGAAAAAGTCTCACGGGCCGAGTCCGTCCAGTATGCCCTACTGCCTGCCTACCATCTCCTTAATCCAGCGCTATGACTTGTTTTACAATTGGCAAGCTAAGGAACACTGATGGGTCAAACAGCAGTTTATAGCCAATGTTTTTATGTTCCCGAGCAGGCTTGATCTGAGCGCATGGCCAGCCAACCAGGGCACACCACGGTTCTATGTCAAGGAAAGTCGGTTATACACGTCGCAATCCCCCTCATCTCACTTAATACGACCCCGCTCAACCTGAGTCCTGCTCTACTTCTTCACCTTAGATTCCCCAAAAGAAAATTCTTTTATCAGGCGGAAATATGCTTCGGAAGTAAAAACGATGCCTCTTCTTGCCTCCAATTGGACCGTTCCACCTACACACATTTCGATCCATCTACAAACTTGTTCGCTGTGGACTCTGGAGCGTTTGAGGGGGGAGGACTGGATTTAGCGTGGCGTCAGTGTTCTCCTCAAAAGTGGTCGCCTGTTCTGTGCCAGCTTCTGTTTCAGGGGAGCTAGGTTAGATAGGGTACACTACAGTCTTGTTCGCTGCGGACGCAGGGGCGTTTCAAGGGGAGCTAGGTTGGCACTGCGCCAGACCTAGCTCCTTTGAAACACCCCTGCGTTCGCACTGAACAAGACTGTAGTGTACCCTATGTTAAAAGCGATGTGATATAAGTGCTGTCGGAAACCTGGACATTGCAGATCCGTGCTCAGTACAAGATCCCTACTGGTGTGATTACTATGTGAGGATTTATATGAACAGCAGTATAACGCTAAGCGGATACGATAGACAGGTACTAACTAAAAAAGCTCACCACTTTCTAGCACCATAGTATCACAACGTACACCACCACACAGTACACCACTTTCTGGCGCGCTACACACGCAGTAAAAATAGAGAAGTAACCTTGAGCGGTTACAAGATCAACTTCGAAATGCGCCATGCATCGTACTCCTATTAATTGTGACGGCGTTTGGCTTTGTTTTCTGTACGGGCTGGAAGCAGGTGAGCCACCCCGAAGGAATGGTAATCCTGGTTGGCCGAGGTGTTGTTCGAGGGAATCGTCCCCAAAAGCAAGCATGCTGTAGCGGCTGTAGCGGCGCCACTTGCCACCACAGTGTTAAACCAGAAAGAACCGGCGCCTGACTCTCTGAGGGCATCGTTTCTGAGTTTTCCAGCAGAAGGTGGACCTTTCTTTAATGCTTCTAGAGTTCCTGCTGTGTAAGGAAACTGGTGTCGCAGCTGGAGGCGGAGTGGAATTTCAAATCTCTTCGGTAGAAGGCTTTTTCACCACGATGGTGAAGCAACACCCTTTTACCAATGAACTCTGAACCTCAGATCTGCTTTCTAGCCAGCGCGCCCAGTGCCATCCTCTCAAACAATATCTAGACATTTCCATTTC